GATATCAAAAAAGTACTCCAGAGTGTTGTTCAGCATGGGGGTGAGTAGAAAATGAAGGCTAATCATGTTTTGGGTGTACTATTCCTTTAACATAGATGGCTTCCTTCACGCCTCTTTCAAACCACCTGTCTTCTTTGTCCAAAATGTGAACATTCTGGACCTCCAAAGAATGTCCTTATTAACCCATCATTAGTTAATTACTAGGTTAGAAACGGCCTGAGGCGTGTGGAAATGTAAAGGAATCCCAAATAAACTGGTGAAAAAAAGACGACACACGCTTTAATAATGTTTAATTGATGTTCTCTTATACATGTTTAGAAATCAAGAAAAGCTTAAGTTACTAACATCAATGTCTACCTATTAAATGCAAAGTCAAGTGATTACATGACAAAAAGAGAACAACCAAGAGAAAGAATCAAGATCCAAAAGCAACTAAAGCTCCGTTAGGAAGTCATGCTCACTGATGTGAAGAGTGGAGGTGTTTCCGACCGGCCCGGAGAAACAACAGGGGGAGGCGATGACCCCACCCCCAGACGGTCACTAGCACTGCACAGAAACAGGACGTCTGCACCACAATCAGCGGCGGCGGCGGGCTAGTAGCGAGCTGGAGCGGTCCGGCACCAGAGGCAGAGCTGTAGGTTTGCCAAGAAAACGCCACAAAGAACACTTGGAGCAAAACGCTGCTGGACAACAACGGTCAAGAAGCAATCATATGCGTTTAAATATCAGAGGCTAGTTTAGTGAAGAGGATCTGAAGGGAAGGAGGCCGGAGCGGTCATGTGACCAGAACCAGTCTGTAGCTCCTCTTCCATCCCAGTCCAGTGCAGAGTTGGCCTTCAGGCTGCTTCCTCTACACCAGCTATGAGGGGAAAACCAGAGACACTCCTCAACCTTAGAGCCGGACTTCATACTGAGGGGATTATTTCTGCTTCTCAGCCAACAGCGTCACGAATCTCCGTTAAACATCTTTAGAAACTCATTAAAAAATATAGATCAGGCTTCTCCAGCCAACTGTTCCCTTTATAAAAACTCACACAGGTATGTACAGCTGAGTAGATAAGAAAAGATTCTCACAACCTGGAGAACAGCGCCGCCTGCCTGCCAACCATATCTACTGCGGGTGAATGTCCATGAAAGCACATGTCGGGATGCGGATTGTCACTGGAGGCTCCTGCCGGGCCTCAGGCTGCAGTATGTACAGGCGAGAGGGCTGACGGCCGCCCTCACACATGGAGCGGTGTGTGCTGGAGCTCAGAGGGGTGAGGGTTTCCTCAGCATGGGGGGGCGGGGCAAGGGCTCACACCGATGACTGATCCCAGACCTGCAAGATCAACAAGAGGATTAAAGCTCAGTGAGAGACGACTGTGGATTTGTGGCTTTTTAACTCTGACATCAGGAGGTCCTGCTTCAAACCACCGACATGACTTCAGAGATGAAACCAATTCAAACAGCCTTACCAAGTTAACTTTTCAACATGTCGACAAACTCCAGTTTATCTTAGTGATAAAGTGGGAGGATGATGAAGTTATGTTTGTTTCAGGAACGCCCAACTCTCCTATTGAATTGCTTTATATATCAATAATCAGCCATGTGGGCCCCATGCCAGAAAGCAGGGTTAAAGCCAATTTATGCTTCTGACGCATAGCCTCTGCAACCATCAAATCTCGCTGTGTGCGACCTCACCCCCCGCGCAGAGGTTCTGCAACCGTTGTTACGCACCTCAAAAAAAATCCTGACTACGCGTCGGATGGTCGCAGACCTCAAGCGGAAGTGTGCAGCTGTGATTGGTCCTTGGTATGCCTTTCCGGCTGCCTGTGTGGTCGTCCTTCTCGATTCAGTGCCGGGACGCGCCATTTTTAAAAACTACGGAACAACTACGACGAATGGTTAATCGGTCTTTTTGCCAACTCCATTAGCACAACCTGCACCTCTTCGATTTCTAGCAACTCTAGATCCATCTCCGTTACCGTGATATCTTGCATACGCGCCATTGTTGTTTTGGAAGATAAATACTCCCACCAGCGCCGCCGAAGTTCTCGAATAGGCTCCCCCTAGCGCTTCTGTGCATTCCTAGAAATTCCAGACCAACGGTGCAGAAGCATTAGCCTCGTGAGACCATCCTGATCTCGCGAGCTTTCAAGGTTTCACT